GGATACCCTAAACAAAAAAAAAAAGTAGATTTAAACAGATTAAGCAATTTCCATAAAATCTGTCAGACCTATTCTCCCAAGCCAGGGTCCTTTCAGAAGTCTGGACTGTAAGTGAAATCAATTCCACAGTCCAGTGGTTTTCAGCACTGAATTTAAAGTAGAACTCCTGTAGAAGTATGCTGTAAAGTTATATGCATAACTATAAGCCCTTTATTTTAAACTACACTAAATACTGCTTAATACACAGGAATTTTAAAGCCCACCTCATGTCAAGGTGATCCCTTATCTAACAGCAGGCAAAAACACTCTTTCATTGATAGAAAAAAGTATTTTAAGTTTCTTTCCAACAACACTTTTTGCTGGTACCATAATAGAAAGCCATGCAGAAAGTACCTGGACATTATGACCTCAGGATTTATTCAGAAATGCATAAGACAAAAAAAATTGTGTACATCTGGCTTCTCAGAATTATGCTAGATCACTTTTCTAGGGTCATTTTTAATCACYATCTGCAATAACAGCAATGTCTGCAGTGTTCTCCTTCCAGGTCTTACCACAAATCATTTCTCTCATGTTTTCCTRTATCATGCTAGAAAAAAGAAAAATTTGGTTTGTTACAAGAAGAGAATCTTTCACCCTGTAGATCCTMTGCTAAATTCTCAGGCAACAATATACTACTTCAGCAACTCAAAAACCAGAAAATTCATCYTAGACTTTGAGTTGCAATCAAGGGCACATGAAGACAAGTTACAAATAGCCAAGGGTGCTGAATGTTTCTGAAGTGATGAGCTTTGCATGAGTAACTTGAAAAATATAATTTCTCACTGCTCAGGAGAATGTAACAATTTCACAGTGACACAGAGAAAGGCAATCTATAACAATAAGGAGGCATTTGCATTTGGTGGTCTGCCAAGAATATCATTCAAGAGCAGGTATTTTATAAGAATTTTTYATGAATTATGTCTCGCATCAATACAAATGGACAATTAATTAACATGTATTTGGAAAGTAATATTTCTTCTGCACAGAGAGTTTTTAAAAGTTCTATGTAGACAGAGAATAAAATAGCCGTAGATAAAAAGCTCAGTACAGCAGATTTAATAACCTTCACTCAGMTACATTATAAAGCTATTAAATATCTGCCATTCAGGTAATTATTGGAGGTTTGCCATAGAATTTAYCGTCTTCAGGCAGTGCAGATTTGCAGACTTTTTTTGCATGCCTTCATGCGAGAGGGAATAAATCCAGGCAGACAAGGAAAAATATTTGAATTTAGGCTTTTTTTCCCATTAAAAAGGCTCGAGCTGTACACATTTGGGGAGGAAGGCTGAATGGCTGAGACCTGACTCCTGTGCAGGGTATTTTCAACAGCACATTAACACCCTTTTGCCKCTACCTCTGGCAGAGAATGCATGTCAGCTTCTTTGAGAATTGAATTGCTTCTTTCATGCTCAGAGTCTTTCATGCTCTGTGCCCAGGGAATAAATGCTGGGAGTTTCCAACTGAAGCCAGAAGGCTCAGAAGTGAGAGACCTACTGCAATGATATCATATGAGAGCCTCTGCCTACAGAAGCCCAATCTAGAAAAGGTTCGTGATCTCTGTGTGTCAAGACTTACCCTTCACTTTCCCCAAGGCTGACAAGGCAGAGGTAAGGATTGGATGTGGAGGCCTCTACAGAGCCAAGGTGTCTGGAGGATACCTGAACTCAGCGGAGCCTGGGCACCACACGTGCCTCAAAAAGATTATTTCCAAGTACCTGACTGTGAAATTCTGTCCTCAGTGGTTGATTTGCATTTGGCAGCCTCTGTATCACCATAACGGAAACAACATYTCAGAACAGCAACAGTCCTTCACTGATTCACATGATGTTCTAACTTCATCYAGCTCCCGGTTTTTCAATTTCTATCTCACTTTTGCAGGTTATTAGGACACTGCCAGCATTACAAATAGCAGAAAATACATTACATCTGTCTTCCTGCTAGATAAGATTTCACATGGAAAGCAGTCTCACTAACAATGTACTGAGAGGAAAACAAAAGTAAATGTGTCCTGAWCAGCTGGGCTGCTCACTGCATCCCAAGAATGAGTTTAGCCCATCAGCAMGAACAAGACAAATGCCTCATATTGCTTACAATTAGTGACCTGTGCTAAAGACCAGGTACATATTTCACAGTCCAAAGGTTCATCCTATTGAAGGTGAAGATAAAATCTTATGACTCCTTCCTGCTGGAGTGATAGCAGGTACATGCTCTCCTACTGACACTGGCACTACCTGCGCACGTGTATCTTGCTAGCAAAGCTCTGTACAGCACTGGCCACCCACGCCCCAGAGTGCAAGACAGTTCCCATGCARCTTCAGAAGATGTGGCACCTACTTKCTACTGGTGCTCCCCAGAGGAGCTGCCTGGAAATCAGTGCCAGACTCACAGCAGCCGTGGGAGACAGGGTCAATACAAAGCAAGTGCCCCACTGAAGGGGAGCCCAGGGCTGCCACCACTGCTGAAGCAACACACCACACCTCCCTCRTGCAGAACAAAATGGAAAATGGGGTACGAAAGAGGAGGCACCAAGGTCACCCAAAGCTGGAATTGCAACTAAATACYAATGACAAAGGGATAAACAATACTGTTTCAAAGCCCAGATGAGGAAAATAAAAGACCTACTCCTATCCTTTTAGGGCAGGGGGAAAAGACAACAACAAAAATCACAATGAGAAGACTCAGCCCAAGACAGGGTATAAATGAGGGTATGTGGRCTTACCACAGATGAAAACAAGACTGTTTCTGCAAATCCATGCAAGAAAGCAGGGTATTTTGAAGACTATTTCAAGTTGACTGGATACACATTAGAAAGTTCCATATGCACTTGAAATTCTGGATTACATTAACAATTTAAATTCTAATAAAGTGTTGGCTATGGAATGAAATAATGAAGAATTACATTTTCCAGGGCATTTGGATATACCTKCTGTGTACATAAGTTCTTGTAACACAACACTGAGAAGGAAATCACAGCAAAATCCAGGGCTCCAAGGGGCCACTGAACAACACAAGTCTTCCACTGTCCTAAAAGAAAAAAATCTGACAACTCACTATTGCAAGACTAATGGTCTGTCCTTYTCCAGATAGTCATCAAGCTACCACTGGATCACAAACAATTCTTTCATTTTGGATACGAGCTGCAACATACAGCTTTTCCTTCAAGGGAGACAGGTATTGTTATGTAGATACAATACATTTTCAGCTTTTCAGATCTTGGGCAGTTAACTCTGAAGGGATCATAAGCCACACCTACAGTTTAGCTTATTTGTGACTTTACAAGTTTTACAGCACTAAACATAAATTTTCCATGTTGTTGAAGATGGCATGGCAAGTCTTTGCAAAGAACCTCACTACCTAGCAAAGTCTGGGCCAAGATATTTTCGTGCTTGATCTCTTYGCTGATATTATCAGCAAGAACATGCATTACATCCAGCTGTGAAAGCAGACAGAGAAGAGCTCCTTCAGCCAGTGACAACTGAAGTAAGACTGTCTTATTTCACAGATGGTAAATCCAAGTTATTATCTGATAATGAGAGAGCCAACATTTAATCTATCTTGAAYGAGGACAGTCAAAACCAGGATGTCTATCTCTACTATGTGTCCGATGGAAACCAATCACATGCWGAGAGGGCAAATCTCATTCCCATTATAGGCAGCACACAGAATAACAGAAGTTTGTAAATTTCCTTTACACCCTGCTAGAACAATCACGAAGTCATCCTTATACTTCTTATTTCATCAGACTGTATCAGGAAAGCCTGATTTATTCCAAGAAAAATACAACATCCACCTCAAGTTCTCTTTCTTTTTTTAGATACTTAATTTTAAAAATTCATCTCCTCATTCTTCTAGTGTAAGATTGAGAGGTTAACATGGTTTTTTTCTTACACAATATCACAGAATAATTGATATTAGAAAGATGATTGAAAGCTCTGTTCAGAGTAAGATTAACTACAGCAGGGTAGTTTAGAGTTAGGCTTGGGCTATTTCCAACAGAAACTCCACAACCCAAAACAAACATGTTCTGGTGTTTGATCTAAAATGGGTTGGAGCCAACAAGCAACCTTCTACTCACTTCAAAACCTAGTGAGTTACCTTGCACAGTAAAACTTGTTTAGGCTCATAAACACTCTGGAAAGATCATGGAGATTTTTTGAAATCAARTGGTTCTTCACTCTACTTCATAAGACAGTTTGATGCAGTGGTATGGGAAGTGTACATAAACCATTCGAAAGAATTTAGAGTCACATAGCTTATATTTGTCAAATAGTCCATATATTTATCTTAGTCCAGATAGTCAAATAGTCCATATATTTATTATAATTTTCCTTGTTTTATTTAAAAACAAAAACTATGTAAATCTCTCAAACACACTCAGAACTCACAACTTCAAAGAACTTGTTTACTTTTCTATACTGAGTTTATATACTTTGGTATAAGTACTTGCAATAATATTAAATAAAAAGGCCTTGGCCTAAGACCAGATTGTGTCACTACAGTAATTCAGTAAATGAATCCAACCTTAAAAAATAGCAGAAAAGAGACACAGTATATATAATCATGTAATGACAACAGTTTCCCAAAAAATGGCATGGTGCTCTTTCAGGTCTCCAAAAAAGCCCTCCACCAACTTCTCATTATTTACAACAAAAGCCTAGAGCAGGGTTTTGGAGCTGGGAAGAGACCCCTTCACTGAAAAGGCAGCAGAAATAATGAAAAAAAAAGTCAAAGAAAATTAGTACTTCACAGCAACAAATTTTGCCAAAGCACCAAGATTTTCTCAATCAAATGGAATTTGTTTCAGGTTTCTGGTGACTGAATATATTAATGCTATTCTCCACCCCTTGAAAAGGGAATAACTATTACTGTCTTACAAAAGGATTTATTGAGGGACAAAATATATATTTGAAATGTTCAGAAGTGAGAATCTCCAGTGTGCAAGGCAGTTCCTCCCTCACCAGGATCAGCAGAACGGGCAGGACACTCAGTCACAGCTCCAGCAGAGGCAGSTCCATTCCTCRGGCTTTGCTGTGCTCTGCAAAACAGGCAGGTTCACTCTCGAAGAAAGGGCTTTTTCAGACCTTTCCCCGTGTCCCTCCACATCCCCAATCCAGTCTATTCCTCCCAACTCCTATTTTACTCCTGTCTATTCCAAAAMCTCCTATTTACTTTAGATGGAAATTTTGCTTATTCCATCCCAGCAGTGTTACTARACCTTGTAGCCATGACAACTACGGAATGGGCAAAACCCAAGAGTAGGAAYGGGGTCTGGAGAAGGGGCTAATGAAGGAATGCTCACAAAATTTGACAGTCTGTACATTCCTTTATTATTCACTTGGTACCCTCTGAATGCTCAGCAATGMACAGCATTAGTCTTGTTCCCTAATTAAAAACCAAGAAAAAGTGGTATTTACTAGACAAATGATGGTTTCATTAAAAAAGAAAATATTTCATAACTAAGACACATTCATAAGAAGCAATTATACAAACCTTCAGAGATCACTGAAAGCTGAGGTCAGTCCTTTTAGCAAGAAGCTAGATTTTGGAGACCTTCAGCTAATTTTATTAGCCAACTTGCATTTTCTTATACAAGACAAACTGTTCCACTCATGGAGGATTGCTACAAATAAGTCAACATTAAGCTCACCTATCCAGTCTGGAGAGCTCACTTACCTTTTTTTCTTACCACATCACATAAACAACTAGTAAATACACAATACTTTGAAGAGTTTTTCCTTAATAAGAAAAGTTTTCTGCCTCAGCATGTTCAAGTTAATTATTTTGTAACACTCAGGGCTCAGAAAAATGCTCTCACAGTAGCATGATTAAATGTCAACATGATAATAGTGCCCTGCAAGTTGTAGCACTAATTGGATTTCTTAATAGGGCTGAGAAGGTTTACTTTGAATTTTGCTGAAGGAAAAATAAATGAGAGACAAAATGAGAAAAGAAAGACTGATCCAGATATTTAGATATTAGCTACAGGTTTTGCTCCCCGTTTGCTAACTCACCTYACAAGCAACACTGGACAAGTTATTTTTGTCCTGAAGCAGCTCAAACAAACATCAATTCTGACAACCACTTATTTATGCAAAAGCCCTCATTACTCCTGGACTGATCTTCACACTGTACAGAACTATTGCTAAAACCTTCASTAAATGAGAATGGACTTCAGTTTGCCACAAGAAAGGCACAAAACCCCAAATGAGACAAGGTGCTATAATAGCCAGCAGGAGTAAAGATAGTATAATTAAAAGCTTTCATCTACTAAATACTAGTTATGTTGTCACAGTGGCTATAATAAAATGCTGGCGCCAGTTTGAGTGATCTGTTTTCTGACCCTTTACCTCATCAAGCTGATCTACACTTGAGTTTTTATAGGTAAAATTCCATAGTTCCAGCTTCAGTCTGATGGAACAAGAATTTGCTGTTACTCTCTGCAGAGCTCAGCTGTCAGTTGCTCATCTTGGACCTGCAGACCTGAACTTAGATGCTTCTTTCTTCTTAGATGCTTCGGTTCTTTATTAATTACATGATCCTTCTGTAGTTCTTTGTTATCTACATCATAAAGGAAAAACCAAGCAAGAACATTGGTCCATCTCTGAGGACACAGTTGCTACACCTTTGCCATCAATGCATTGCTGCGAGCAACCTTCCTGGGCAGATAAATTGCATATTAAAGTTTTGCTGAATCAGAATGCACTAGAAATGAGCAARCTCATTTGAACAAAAGCCATGCTTTTTCATGTATAATTGTATTATTGATTTTCCTGAGGTCTAAGATTAATTTGAATGCTGGATTATTTGATGGCACTGAAAGGAGAAACTAGGTTGTTTGCTGCTTCTGACAACAGACAAATTGAGATTCTGGAATGTTTCCATCCATTGCTACAGCACCATAAGCTTTGATTTTCCTTCTAATCAAGTTTGTATAAAATGTACATTAAACAAAGAATAATCTTACATCTTTTGCAGGAATTGCTAAAAAAAAAACCAAAAAACAGAAATAAAAGCTCTAGAGATTAAAAGTCTTTCATTTATCCTCAGAGCAGGCACAAAGAGCACATCTATGCTGTGTCTCCAGCCAGAGCTGCTACCTGCACTATCTCTGAAGTTTCCACTGTGAGATTTCTATAYCTGATGACACTACACAATCTGGTACTTTGTATGTAGAAGAGGTTTTGCTACTTTCATTCAAATGAAGCCATTTAAAAATGAAAAAAAAAAWATGTTTACTAAATCATGAAAGCAAATATAGGACAGATTTTATGACAGCTGTCAGGTCACGGAAATGAATTCTTCCCCACTCGACACAGAACATAGATGGGATTTGGTCACTTTCCTTCCCCTCTTCCTTCACTGAAAACTGTATTTTCCTTCACAGCTTTTCTGRTACTACATTGCTGCATCACAGAGTCTTTTGGTTAATTGCTGTAGGAACAGAAACCAGCTGTTCCCATGGACCAGCCATGGCATGACCATTAACTAACACCCAGCAACAGTGAGGTAGGCTCTGYTCACTGCACACACATTCATCACAGCCCACAGGAATGGCAGTGCAGAGACAGTGATCAACAAAATTGATGTTCAGAGTGAAACATTTCTGCCAGGTGAAGACCACAARCTTCATTGGTTTCCTGCTCTCATGCTGGACAATATGTAATGAGCATTGATGCATGCAGTGCATTTCCCAGCTCATCTGCAAACCATACTAGAAAATTATAGGTGCTGCTTTCCCTGCATCCTAGGTATGCTCTGAGAGATGTTCCACATTGCAAAAGTAAAAATGCTACGTTTGAAACTGATTAAGCTGGCACCTAACTGGTGCCATGGCTTAACTGCAGCCAGCAGCTCAGCCCCCTGATGCTGCTCCCTTGCTCTCGCTCAGTGGGATGGGGGAGTGAACTGGAAGCGTAAAACTGAGAAAACKCCTGGATTGAGATTAAAAGTATAATAATTGAAAATAACAATATAAACTATAACAAAAAGGAAATTAACAAAAATAAATAAACCCCAAGACATATGATGCAAATGGAAACATTCATCCCTGACTGCCCAAAACCCAGACAGCTCCAGAGACCAAACACACACCAGCCTCCTCCCCGGTTTTATTGCTGAGCATGATGCCATATGGTCTGGAATCTCCCTGGGGTCAGYTGGGGTCAGCTGTCTGGCTGTGTCCCCACCCAGCTCTTTGTGCCCCCACCCAGCGTGCTCGCTGGTAGGTGAAGAGCAGAAAAGACCTTGACTGAGTAAACACAGCTCAGCRATAAAGAGAAAAATCCCTGTTTTGTCAACATGGCTTCCAGCACAAATCCAAAACGGCCAATGCCAGCTACTGTGAAGAAACTTAACTCTATCCCAGCCAATCCCACACACCCAGAGAGGCAGACAACTAGGTACTGCTGCCTCCTTCACCACAGAGCTCAAGGGAGCAGCTGAAGGCACCACCCCAGCAGGAAAAGATCGCTCCTACTGCCCCCAAACCATCTGTGTGGGTGGAAGCAGCGGCAAGTCTAGCTCCCCCCTCCTCCTCTCCTCCCACCTGACCTTCATGCCAGGGCGGCAAAAATTAAAAGCAGAGGCTGCTTAGGCAGACTACCTTTTCCTTCCCAGATAAGAAAAGCAAACTCACGTACAAAATACCCCTCTGTTTCCCCTTCTTCCCCCATGCCCCAAGTGAGAAATGATACAAAAATGTCTCTTCAACCACATCTATCTGCTCAGCAGAWTTTTGGGAGCAGCTCAACATTTCACTCCCTGACAGACACCGTAGYTCCTTCCAACTCTGTCAGCCCTGAGAAATCACCATCTTGAAAACATTCCCAGCATACCTAACACACGAATTCTTATTTACAGCAGCATTCACAGCATCAGTCTCTGCTGTGCAGCCGAGACTTGTGAGGCAGCAGGGCTGTGAGGGGTGCCATGGGGCACAGTGGGGCTGTGAGCGGTGCCAGGGGGCACAATGGGGCTGTGAGGGGTGCCATGGGGCACAATGGGGCTGTGAGGGGTGCCATGGGGCACAGTGGGGCTGTGAGCGGTGCCATGGGGCACAGTGGGGCTGTGAGCGGTGCCA